AGGGTTTACCGTTTTGAGTTTGGGGTTCAGGTTTTAGGGTCTAGATCCCAGAACAATGGAATAGGCGTTCAGGATGCATTGTTGTACTGCAGGTAGAAATCAGGTAACACTGCCTAGACCCTGAAGTGTCGCATCTGTTTCTGAATGACTCGTTCTATGGTAGGATGTACAACACAAAAACCGAAACAACCAGGAACCACGGTGCTGCACTGTGGGGTCTAGGTGAGGTAAGTATCATTCTGGTTTCTATATGCACTTGAGATTCAGGGTCCGCGTCGAAGCATCGGCCATAGGAAAGAAGGGAAACCTCTGCGAGGCTCACGGTTTAGGGGCTTATAGGGTTTAGGGTTTTATAATGCCCTATTTCTAAACTATACATAGACATTTCGGTGTGCAGAGTGTGGTGACACGGCGCGGAAGAGAAACGAACCCGAAGCTGGGTGTGCAATACCATTGACTGCCCAGAGGGGTTCAACTACACACCCGCCACTATTCTGAAGAAGCCACAAGATATACTTACCAAGCCCTAAACCCTAAACCCCACCTTAATGTGTCCTGCGTGGCTTGGTGCTGGAGCCTGCTTCTTGCTGTAGCCCAGCTGCTGTGCCTGAAGCATCACCTGGCAACTGTTGCGCGTTGCCGGCTTCCCTACAAACCTAGTAGTCTCCATAGTGGGGCACCGCAAAGTGGGTCCCTGCCCTTGGGCCACCCCCACGAAGCCGCTATGAGCTCTGTTATAAGCCTGCAAGCCCGTGCAATTAAGCACTTAGCTTCGGTTTCGGGGTTCGCCTGGCGCAGCGACTGGAAACAAATTAGCTTTCGCGAACAGCCACAAACCGACACACGCACGACGAGGGAGGCTGGAAAGCATAATGTGCTGTTGCTACCAGGAGCTCTGCAAATTCGGAGTTGTCCAGAATCTGCTGTCCTGCGACCTTTCCGTAAGCCTGGCATTCCCTAACGCTCCAGGTACCCAAACAGTAGGCTACTACCCATCGGTTCCTGAGTGACCCCTTAATAACAAGGGTACCCTTTTTGCTGCTATTCAGTTTTAACAATACAAACGGCAAAAGGGTACTACTCAGGAACCCAGAACCATATACGGCCATCTGGAACCATATACACAAAATATGTAGCCCAGTAATAACCTGTTATCGACGACACTTCTTCAAAGTGATCTCTGGCTGAAGAGCGCAAGGGGTCCAAAGGACCCAATAATCATGTACTTGGGTTACGGATAGTAGTTTTGTAGGTTAGTATTCAGAAGAGTATATGATTATTAGGTACTTGGACCCTTACGGTTTTAAAGGGTCTAGGGGTACAAAGCTTATGAGTTTAGGGGTTTTGAATCCCTACACTCCACCCCAAATTCCGGCTTCGCGTTGAAAGAACTTGAGGGTTTGGCTCCAAGTTGAGAACCGGGGTTTAGGGGTTTAGGGTTTAGGGGTTTAGGGTTTAGGGCTTATAGGGGGCTTCGGGTTTAGGGTTTAGGGGTTTAGGGTTTAGGGTTTATAGGGGGTTTCGGGTTTAGGGGTTTTGGGGTTTAGGGTTTAGTAATTAGGGTGTAGGGTTTAGGGTTTAGGGTTCATAAAATGGCTTAGTTAGGGTTTAGGGTCAGTATTATGTCTAGAAAGAAGAGTATTCTTCGGGCTCCTTGTTATACTACTAACTACTGTAAGCACGAGATTATAGGGATTTCGGCTTGCCTGTGAGAAAGAGAGAGGTTTGGATTAGGGCTTCGGATTGAGGGTGTAGGGAGACCAGGTGTAAAGAAGGGCTTCGGGTTTAGGGCTTCGGGCTTAGGATAAGAAGAGGAAACCGAGGAAATAGTATTGTTAGCTATGCTTAGAATATGAGTACGAAATAGTACGAAGGTATTGTTTTAATGTTTTAACTAGTCTTGTAATAAGGTTCCCCGGGGGATAGTACTGTAATGTTGTTATAGAAATAGTAAAAGGGAGCCCTTCGGCACAGTAGTACACTAAACCCCAAACCTTGCATGAACCCTAAACCCTAAACCCCTAAACCCTGAACCCTAAACCCTAAACTCTATAAACCCTGAACCTTGCATGAACCCTAAAACCTGAATCCCGTTAACAAAGCTTCAGCCCCAGAGTTGATGATGGGACCCAGAACTCCGAACCGTTTTGAACTCTAAGCCCCAGAACCCTGAACGGTTTAGGGTTTAGGGTTGCTGGACAACGACGGCCTGTTGCAAAAAGGGCCTAGGGTTTAGGGTTTGTATTGTGCAACTGATAGTACGAAGGCCAGTTGGATCAATGAGGCCATCCCTTTACGAGGTTTGGACACTCGGGCCCGTACATGAGTAGTTCTAAATTAGGGTTCCTTGTTTTACACCCCATCTTGGAAAACTGCCCATATACCGCCAACGATCTCCTGCGGCTCTCTTGCAGTGCGCGCGACTTACGCGACATGGCAGATGTCAACCCAGAGTCACGATAAAAGCCCCAAGCGCTAAACTGTAACCCTCAGCCCCAAACCCTACAAACTCAAAATCCAAAAAAAAACCCAAATGCTTCTACACCGGAGTCCCGAAACCCGTAGGGTCAGTACGCCTTCCGCACAGCGGGGTTCCTTAGTCCAGGGCCTCTTCAGTAGGGAACAGGCGTGCAAACAAGAGCAGCCGGATCCATGGAACCCCTCGGTGCTAAATCCTCTGAAACTTTAACCCGACCTGGACCCTGAAAGACCCTACCTGTTGAAGGAAGTATATATATATAATTCGTAATCATAACAAGGAACCTTGAAAAGAGTAGGTAGTTTAGGGTGACGGTAGACCCCTGCACCACCCCAAACCCTAAGCCCTAAACTTCCTACACCCTAGACCCTGAAGCCCAAAACCTCAGGCGAGACGGGCTCTCTTGCGCGCAGTGCGCCAGAGCCCGGCCTCCTCGACCGAGGTCGGACGCTTTGCCAGCCGCTGGGCGCTCCGAAACCCTAAAGCCCTGAAGCCCTAAACCCTAAAGCCCCTAAAACCCTAAAGCCCTGAAGCCCTAAAACCCTACTGACTCGGACAGTCAAATGATCGTCGAACGAGTTCCCTGGCGGTGCGACTTAGTCGGCTGGGCGGGTGGGAAAAAACCCTAAACTAGGCCCTAAACTCTGAACCCTAAGCCTTGCTTTCTCGACTGCATGCGAGTAAAAGTGGTCTGGTTTAAACAAAAACCTGAGCCCTGAAGCCTCAAAACCGAAACCTTAAACCCTAAACCCTAAAACCCAAAATTGCGGCTTTCGGGCTTAAGTTAAGGGTTTAGGGGTTGAGACATAGCAATTTCGCGGACAGTGGCTCTTGGGGCTTGAGACATAGGGGCAGTGAGATCTCTGCCTAAATCCGTGCCTGCTTCGAGCGAGTGTGTGCGAGTCGAGCTCACCCAAACCCCAAACCCCAAACCCTAAACCCTAAACCCCTAAACCCTAAATCCGTAAACCCTAAACCCCTAAAGCCCTAAACCCTAAACCCTCAAATTAACGGGTATCGAGATCTCTGGGCCAGCCCAGGCCTTGAAGAAGAAGCAAAAGTTTCGGAGCAGGAGCACCTAAGCTCAGCTTAACTGGGTCCTTGTTGGATACAATTTTACATTTTTGTTATAAGCTTGGAGTGCACGGTTCAGGGTTCCGCTCTGGGTTCTAGAAAGGAGCCCTTCAGAGCTGCTAGAAGGGCTTAGAGTGACCGGCTTAGGTTTAGCGTTCGGGTTTGGGGCTTAGGGTTTAGCGTTAGGTTTGGGGCTTAGGGTTTGGGGTTTTGGGAGTTTAGGGCTTAAGGTTTAGACCTGCAGGGGCTCGGGGCCTTACATGTTGTTTGGACAGCATCTCTTACTGGGCTCTGGGGATTATTCCGTGGGCTGCCTAGGTTTTGCTCCTGTCAGGTTTCGGTTATATTATATATTATATAAGGGCTTAGGTGAGGGGCTTGAAAAGCAGACGCGCCCGCTTCAGCGGGATGCGTCGGAGCAGTCGCGCTGGCTTTTATGGCACAAATCAACCCCTAGCAACTTCCCTCTACAAGGGGTTCGGAAGGGTTTGATAGGTATTCTATATCAGGCTTCCAGAAGAAGTCGTAGGGTTCAGAGCTTTAGGGTTTTGGGATGCAGGGCTTTTTGAATGTTAGGGTTCCGGGCTTTTGGGGGGAATTTTGGGTTTTTGCGGGGCTTTAGGTTTCAGGGCTAGGGAGCTTTAGGTGTGGTTAATAAAGTTTAGGGTTCAGGCTCCAGGGATTTCAAGGTTTCGGGCTATGCCTCAGAGTGTCACGGTTTAGGGCTTCAGGGCTTCGGGGTTAAAAGCTGCGTTTCTGTGCAGATCGTGCGCACCTCAAGTTAGCAAGACAAAGGAGCCGACATACTAGTTGCGACAAATGGCGTATGTTTGGCCAAATCCGGCCTGACTAAAGCATGGCCAAGCTGAAACTGCAGATGAGATGTGAGCTTCAGCAACCCAGGGTAAATCACAAGCATGTCTAAAGTGTCGGATCCTTTCAGACGCTTCGGCAGCCGTTGGAACACCCGCTATCGTACCCGATGATGCCCTTGCTAAAGCACTGACGATGAGCTGAGTACTAGTGCCTTTGCATTTCCCCATACCAGTACTCGGAACATATATCCCGAAACCATACATATTGAATTATTGGAATTGCGTAAACTCTTCCCAAAAACCGCCGAAGGAAGCTTTTACGGCCCTGCCCCTGAGGCTTCTCTGGCTCCTGTTTCTCGACTGATAGCTCTGGCAGCGAGGGCGCCATGGCTGCAATGTTTTTGTTAGGCACCCCCAGCCACATCGAAACGTACCTCGAGGTTTGGATGCTAGGGCTGAGGGAAAAATTTTAACAAAAAAAGATTGAAGCCATACCCCGTTTATAGGGACCCTTCATGGAGCCCTTGTAGGGACATTTGCTTAAACATTTGTTGGGCCACGATCTTCGTGTGACAGAGCAGTGTACCAAACCTATACCCATGCATGCCTTTTCTTCCAGTTGTGGCGTGCATATGGACGATCTGGCTTTGTTTGGCACGGCACCATCTGGACCGCAGAAGCCCGAACCCTGGACCTATTAAACCTTTAACCCACGCCCTAAAGTAAAAAAAACCCAAAATCCATATACCCTGCCTAAGAAGGTCCAGACAGGCAGTATCCTGCCTCGTTCAGCGACATCGGCCAGCCGAATCCTGCACTTGAAAGTGCCGAGCTGGCCTTGGTTCGCTTCACGGCGCCGTGTTGGCCACAGACCAGCTGGGGCCCGAGACGCTGTCTTTAGGGCCCCCAGAAAACGACGTAAGCATAAACAAGCATTTTGTAGGGATATCCCCCACCTTATTGGGCTTCATTATAAAGGGGGGGTTAAATGGGATATCCCTATCCCACTTTTTGCTTGTGTGCTTTCTTGGGGGCCCTGTGCCTGGTTCAGGGTTTAGGGGGTTTAGGGTTCTACTTAGGGGTTAGGGGCATTGGGCTTAGGGGTTTTAGGAGTTTAGGGCTTAAGGGTTTAGGAACTTAGGGTTCAGGGTTTGGGGAGACACTTGCTGTCTTTTTTTCGGCTTGAGACTGAGCTTGGTCAGATTGGTGAACCCTATATCCAGGACCCTGGAAATCATCCTTGTGCTCAGGACCTGCTTGTGTCTCGACATCCCTGATTTGGCTTTTCAAGCACTGGAACTTCAGCTACCTGCGCGCGCAGTGCTGCCCATTTCATGCCGCTTTGGCAGTTGCCCTTGGCACGCTGAAGGCGAAAAAGAAGGAGGGCGAGCATGGCTCATCCTTGGTTTAGGGTTTAGGGTATCCTGCCAGCATAAGTAAATGCTCTAATTGAGTTGTGGGTGCTTGGTGCTGGGCCTACAAGCAGTGGTACCATGCTTACACTGTCACGATCATACAGGGCGCGCGTATGAAAGAGCTGCCTCGACTGACATTACGTGCATCCAGATGTGTTGCCAACAGGACTGCTGCAATCCGTTGTGGAGCCCCTTCACCGGCTGGCAGTGCGATTTTTGCACGGCCATGAATCACGAGAACTCTGAGCACTGCGACCTGTGTGGCAGTGCCAGGCCGGCTGTGATAGAACGCAAGGGTCGAAACCCAAAGCAGAACTGGCTGAGAGGACTGTGGGAGATCAATCTGCCGAGCTGTCCATGACGAGCCTGAAGACTGGATCCGTGTCACTGAAACACTGCTGCAACAGATGCCGAGGTTTGGGGTGTAGCAACATGTAGGAACTAGAGTCCCGGAATAGCACATGGACAACGATCACGTTTAACGGACCGTGGTCAGTACGTCCTACGCTTAGCGCTGCTCCTTTTCCTGTCGATGCCAAGGGAAAGTTGGGGTTGAGTGTTTCGAGTTGTTTCCGGTCAAGGGCTTTGAGGTGGGCTTGGTGCTTTCGCTGAGTGGGTTTGGGCTTCACTGCCGGATGTCTTGATTCGTGTCTTGACGCGGTCCTCTAGTTCGAAAAGAGCGTGATCATCCACGTCCTCGTTTATGATGCCTGTTGAAGCTCTCCTTAGTTGTCTTTGGAGTTTGGGTGTTCGGCCTTCGTGTAGGACAGAACCTGGACAAAAGCTGCTGCTTAGGCACGAGGATGGTTTTGGATGCTCGCCTTCTCAGTGAGTCACAGTGAGTCTGTCCCTTTGGAGCCCATCAAAGCACATTCCGACATTTCCCAAATTAGTTGACCGAATGCTTCAAGCAGTGGTTCATCGCTTGTGGCTGATGCGCCTTGAGGTCTTGGATGCTCCCACATGGGAGTTGTTTCTGGTAAGTAACAGAGTCCCGAATGCTGCTACTACAACTGAAGTCGAAGCTGACCTGGTGCATCATTGACCTTTTTTGGGTCCGCAGCGGTGATCGACGAACTTGCACGCGCCACAGTCGCGACTTTCACGCGTCGAGAACTCGACGCGTATTAGGCATTATTTCAACCCCGACTATGTGGCTGGAACATAATATGTCAGCTTGCTCATTTCTGTGCGCCTGACTTGTTCAGCACCTAAAGGTGAACGTCTGACGATGAGCGCACACCGCAGAAAATGTTTGGTCGCAAGGCAATGTTCTTGGTACTGGTGCTTATCTTCCCTTACCTAGTTCCGGAAAGCTGCAGGGCACCGAAGCGAATGCTAGGACCGTGTCAGAATACCTGCATCCATCGCCCCCGGCATTCTCGACACGGCGCACCCCCGAAACCCCAGCCCCAAAACTTTCATTGGACCGTTTCAGACTTCAAAAACCTCACAGACAGGTCCGGTCTCAGGCCGCCACATTGGACGAGGAACTGGACAAGTACTTTGCCAAGGACCCGGCCCAGGGCTTGAGTGTCTAGGGTTTAACTGGACCCTCAGAAACCTACCTTTTAGGGCTCTTTGATACGGTTTCCCAATAACACTTGAAAAGGTAGGTTATTTGGGGTCCGGGTAGGGTAAGTGGAGAACAGGCACAAGCTGCGGTCATCATCGATATCGAGAAAGATGGTTCTCGAAATGTGTCCGTCACTGCGTCGGTGTTGTCCTTTTCGTATGTTGGTGCGTTTTCGCGCCTGTACCCTTGGCAGGGGATAAGACTAATTGGGGAGGTCCGTGATGCTCTCGAGCGGTGTGTCTTAGTCACCTTCAGCTATAGAAAGATGGCTCAACCGTTGGTTCTTTCAGCCCGAGCTGTCCGGGGAGATACACACGGATGATGGAACGTCCCAGGCTATTTCACCGACCAGTATAGATCATCGTGAAGTCTAGGGCTTTTATGTACATAGGTAAGTCCGTCTAAACTGAACACCAAACCGCCAACTCCTCAAGACCTCAAGAAACTCGAAACACCCTAAGATAGAAGCCCAAACGACTACTCATTCTCTTATGCTAGTCGCCTTTCCACTGATTGAGGCCGCCATGTTACAGCCTGAGCCAGGACAAGCCAAAGGAACCTCCAGAACCTAAAGTTGAGCTTTCCCCAGAGGAGAAGCAGGCACCGAAGGGGGAACTCGTTGCGTAGATTCAAGGTTTTAGGCTTCGTTTCGGGGCTTCAGCGCTTAGATTGGTGATTAGAGTTTCGGTTGTTCGTCCTGTTTGGCCCATGCGATCTTTTTCACGGGCACTGTTGGTGCATGTTGGCGCAAATAGCTTCGTTCACTTCCGGCTGGGCATACGTTCCGAAAACGTAGTCAAGGATCGGCGAACCGGTTTTCAGGCTTACGCAAGCCACATGGAATAAGGCAAGAGTCCATCAGCAAGTGACCGCATCCCGAATTTCGGGGAAGGGTCGGACCAAACCGCTTTCTTCTGTGATATTAGATTCACGGTAGGTTCCTGCCAACACCATCATTATGTGAATCCATGGTTTGAGTTTGTTTGCCTTTGAGTCTCTAAATCGGGGTGTGATTCCTGATTGAAAACTAGTGCAGGCTGCATTTCCCCTTACACCCGGCTGCAGGACCGGATGGTGGCTGCAATGCTCCTCCGGAGTGCACGTTCCAAGGCAGGTCTTCCGCTGTGCAAGTTTGGCAGGGCTCCGAGAGGGTGTTTTGCAGGAAAGTCCTGGATGCCTGAGCCAAGGGTTATAGTAGAGCATGGTATGGTCTCGTATCGCAAAGCATAAGCATAGTAAAGTATAGTATAGCGAAGTATAGTAAAGTGTATAGTGTGTGTATATATATATATACATATATAGAGAGAGAGAGAGAGAGTAGAGTGCAGTATCGCAAAGTGTAGCAAAGTGCATTTACATGACGTACAGTTGAGTATAAATAAGCAGAGTAAAGTTTTGCAAAGCGTAGTAAAGTTTAGTGAAATCAAGTAAAGAAAAGTTTAGTGCAGCACAGAGAAGCATGGCGAAGTACTGTGAAGTATGGTGAAGTCTAGTACAGTACGGTGAAAGCAAGGAAAGTATGTTGAGTAAAGTCTAGCAACGCACAGTAGTTTCAGTCAAGTGCAGCATCGAAGAGTATAATAGAGTTTGGAAAAATGTGTTATAGTATCGCATCGTGTATCAAGGTTCCCTGGAAAATACCTGTTCATGCCGCACGCGCGGCACCAAAAGTCCGATTGCGAACAGTACAGTCACGCGCAGAAATCGGGTTCGTACTTAGCACAAGCCCCCAGTCTCAGACGTGTGGTTGAGTGCTCGTCCTCCGTGCGCTTGATTTTACATCACTGACTCGTCAATGACTGTACAGGATGAATTTGTGCGGACCGCCCGACTGCCCATTTTCGTGAAAATCGGCAGCAAGCATCGAAGGAAGGTGTGCGCGAGGTGTTGCGTCAGACGAGATCTGCAGACATCTTCGATGAGTTGCACAAACAAAGCCTAAGATTCGCATCTGCTTACCACTGATTGTTCGACTTTGATTGCTTTTCTCATCTCGTCGCCGCCTTTGCCTTCAGTCATGGCTGCCATGTGCACCGACGAGCATCCGGCAAGCGTCCCTGAGCTTCACAGCAGTAGCCTTACCCTAAGGGTCCAAGTACCCAAATAGTAGGGTTTCAAGGTCCCAGAACCACTCAGAGTATGGATTTTGGGACCTAAAACCTTACTCTTTGGGTACTCGGACCCTCTGGGTTATGACGAAGCCCCGCAATGACAGTAAACCCCGAAGCAAATGTTTGAGGGCATCTTCGGGGCCTAGCGTAGGGGCCTTAATAATTAGAATAGGATTTTGGGGCCCATTATACTATACTTATAATAAGGAACCCCGAAAATGGTATTGGTAATTATTCAGGCCCCTATATTGGTTACCTCAAAGCCTTATTCTAGCGTACACCGAACTTCGCAGCCCGATAACCAAACCCCAAATCCAATTGAAAAATAAAACCTCTAAACCCTAACCCCAAACCCTATAAAGCTAACCGCTGACCCCCACCACTGAATCCCATATACAGATATATGTATGCACACATGTTTGTTTCTTTGCGTGTTTTTTTCATTTGCTTTAGGTATTTATCCAACGGTCGGAACTTAGGTCCCTGAGTGTCAGCAGAAAGTCATTCACGAGCCCGGCACTTCTGCCATCTCCAAGAACATCCCGCTCTCCGAGGCGGGTAGGGTTCACCTGAATCCCAAATATCTTACCTTTCAAACGACGTATATAAGGAAATCCCATGAAAGAGCATCAAACAGGCAGGTTTCTTAGGGTCCAGCTAGGATTTAGGATTCAGAGGGCGTTTGGGGTTTAGGGCTTAGGCGTTCATGAACTAGGGGTGCCTTGTCTAGGGGTCCTGATAGTCCGCCATACGAATAGCAATAGTAATTAGTAATCACGATCAAACAAGGATCCTACCTATAGTCTCCATTGTAGTTCCTTTTCGGGGTTACCTTTTAGGATCCTTAATATAGAATTGGTTAAACCAACAAAAGGAACTACAATGGAGACTATAGGTACATTGTCCTCTGAAGCTCCCCAGGTGAACCGCCATTGCACGCCTGAGAACTGCTGGGTGGCGCTGAATGGCAAGGTGCGACAAGGTCTATGTATGACTTCTAAACCCCACAAAGCCCGTATCAAAATCCTAACACCCTAAGCCCTACTCGCACCTATTGAACCTCGACTGGCTTGTCCTTGTTGTGAGAGCGTAAACCCCTAAAACCCTAAGCCCCAAACCCTGAGCTCTCCAAGCTAAGAGGGAGGAAAAATCCTCAGCCTTGAACCCTAAGCCCCTAAGCCCTAAACCCTAAAAGGTCTATGATTTGTCGGAGTTTATGGACCGACATCCCGGTGGTCCCACCACCATCCTTGCCTGGGCTGGGAAGGACTGGGGTTCGGGAGTATCATACTTTTAGGGTTTAGGGTTTAGGGTAATCTTTCAGCTGATTGGCAGAGTCTGGGTTCAAAAAAGGGTAATCTTTCATACCTTTTTGGACCTGTTCCTTAAAGGGACCATTATCCCCAAGGCCCTCAGGACGCATCAAAGGCTTTTGGGCACAAAGACCACACGTAGCCACACTATACAAAGCTTTTGTGGGCTATGCCGAGTCTTAGGGTATGAAAAATCATGTGTGCGTGTATATATATATACACATATACATATACATATTTTATGCAAGATAATACAATATGACATTATGGAGCATAACAGTATACTATGTTATATTGTCCTGTATTCCATTGCATTACATTTCATTGTCTACCTTCTCCCTGGTTACATAAGAGCCCGGAGGATGCCTCAAAGTTTTTCAACGAGATCCACAAGGGCGTGAAGATCGACGCCTACCTGCGGCCCGAGGCACCCTTTGGTGAGCACCCTCATTGTTAGGGCCTAAGGGTTTAGGGTTTGTAGTATCCCAATGGTCGTGTGCTGTAGCCTATAGCAGATACTACAGTGGCATATTGCAGATACTTTTTACTAGACTAGTATAGTATTAGCAGTTACTATAGTGGCATATTGTAGGAACTTTTTCTAGTTAGTATAGTATTCTGTAGCATTTTTCGAGGCATTCTTGGGTGACCTGGGAGTTGACGAGAACCTGATGTCCGACGACTTCTGGCACACGCTGCGCGAGGCCCGGATCGTGGAGATCCGCCAGGAGGTCGACCGCCTGCTGAGCCAGTGCACCAAAACCCACAAAGCCGACAGCATCCCGAGGCTCCTCCAGGACAAGAACATCGACCCGGAGCTGAAGAGGAAGCTCCAGCGCCTCAAGACGCAAGAGCGGGCTGCCTTGGATGCCGAGGATTTCCCGAAGGCGGCGGAGGTGAAGCGGGGCATGGAGGAGCTCCTGTCGCACGAGGACCACGCGCACAAGCACGATGTACCCATGGGCTGGACGAGCAGTGACATCCCCTTGTCGGAGGTGGCCCGGCACAACAAGCCGCACGACTGCTGGATCGCCATCTGTGGCGAGGTCTACGACCTGACGGACTTCTTGCAGCACCACCAGGAGCAGCGCAACTCCATCCTGGCATGGGCCGGCCGGGATGCGACGCCCATGTTCGACAAGATCCCTGGCCGGTTCCCCAGCAAGCAGTGGATGGAGTACTACATGCGCCCGGAGTTCAAGACCGGCAAGGTCGGCCCAGATAAACCGGTGGACTCCATCATCATGGAGCTGCGGGAGTTGCACGATGAGTTGCGTCGCCTCGAGGGACCTTCCAAGGAGGAGATCGAGGCAGTGAAGACGGCCGTCAAGGTGCCGGGCAAGACGGATGCTCCGACGCTGTCGGAGGAGAGCCGCTTCCCGAAGTTGGCGGAGATCTCCGCCGGTAAGGACCTGCCTTTCTTCTCCCGTGCAGAGGTGGCCAAGCACAACACCGCGGAGGAGCCGTATATGATCATCCACAACCGTGTCTACAACCTCAAGCCTCTGCTGGGCAGCCACCCCGGTGGCGACGACATCCTGATGTCCAAGGCAGGCACAGATTGCACCAAGGATTTCGAGGTCTTCGAGCATTCTGAGAAGGCTCGAGTGCAGCGAGACCGCGACATGCTGGTGGGCCAGCTGGTGCCGGCAGAGAACACGGACTGGTCGGAGACGGCTGCAGTGCAGCAGGTGGTCGGCGAGGAGACGTCTGAGATTGGCCGCTACTTGAAGTACAAGATCACGGACGTCGCGGTTGCTGCCCTGGCCTGGTACCTTTTCAAGACCTTCCAGAACCGCAAGCCCCTGTCGCAATTCACCTACAGCCGGGCACTGAGGCATCTGCACCTCATCATGGCCGTTGGCATCTTTGGGGTTGTGGGCACCGCCCAGGCTGCATCCTACTCGGAAGGCCAGGCCAAGAAGCAGATGCTCTGGTGGCACAAGCAGACGGGCATTGTGATGCTGGTGGCACTGATCTTCCGTGTGATCTTCCGGCTGCAAAGCGGCATCCCCCCACGCTTCCCGGGCAACAAAATCGTGCAGATGATCGAGACACAAAGCTTGCGGGCTTTCTACGCCTTCGCCCTGCTGCTGCCTGTATCCGGCATCGCCAACGAGTACTTCCTGAAGTGGGCACCCGGCTCTGACAAGACCGGCAATGCGGAGGACGATCGCAGGAACGACCGCCTGGCCAAGCAGTCCATCGACGCTCACAAGGTTCTGGGCAAGGTGTTGCAGTACGCCTGGCTACCTTTCCACCTGGGCTACACCACTCTCAACCACTACAGTCAGGGCCGCGGCGTCGTCCGCAAGGTCTCTCCCTTCATCTAAGCACCGTTCATGCCTAGTTGGAAGGAGAGCGACGACATGACTGCCAGCAATTGCTTCTGATAATAAGACCTTGCAGGCTTGCAAGTCTCATCTTTTTTACCCTGCCGGCTTGTAAAGACTGTCACATGCACAGGCGAAGCCATGATGTTGTGGGTCAATGAGCGAATCAGGTGTCCGCTGGCCACCTGACGGCGCCAACCCAAGTTTTGAGTGCTCTAGTTCGAAGGCTTGTCCACCATGCGTTCGCGACGTGACGGAATCTGGCATGCCTTCGAGAGCACAGTTTCGTTCAGCATGTCAGCATCGAAAATCCACAGCTGAGCTTGGGTGTGTTATTCGGTTTGGTGTGTGGGGGCTCTTATAGACTCTAGGTTGCAGGGGTAGTGCTTGAATGATTCATGTGCTGCTTCTCAGAGCGCGCCATGCCAGCTTTTACAGTGATCAGACTTCCCCCCAGACCATATCTACAGCCTCCCTTTTCTCATAGTTGTTCCTGTTTTGCTTTACTAATTTCTTTTGTTAGGATCCTGTAAAATAGAAGTGGTTATCCGAAGCAAGGAACCACAAAAGCCCTAAACCCCCAACTCTAAGTATTTTGCCCTGGCAAGGCCGAGTTGGGCATTTCTTTTTGCTAAGAACATCAAAGCTGGCACTTGTGGGGTGTCAAGGTTTAGGGGTTTAGGGTTTAGGGTCTATAGTCTATAACGATTCAGGGTTTAGGGTCCATAGGGGTTTAGGGTTCTGTTGAAGGGTTTACAGCATTGAAAACCTGGACAAGGAGAAAAGGGTTGTCACAGCAGCTGCAGGGCGACAACAGATGAACGTCGCCTGACCACACACACACACTAGGCTAGAAGCACTACTTGTCGTATGTTGTGGTTGTAGTGATCGTGTTAGTGATACTTAAAATGCAGGCTCCTGCAGTATGCATTGTTGTCTTGTTTGTCTTGTTTGAGTTCCAGCAACGACGTGTACACCCACAGATGCATATCATCGAGTGATAAAGAAGCATGTAGCACAAGGCCAGCCGAGCATCGCACACGGCATTGCAGGTTACTATAATATAAGAATACCTTGACGTCACTACATACGATGGCTACTGCAAGGTTAGTAGAAGGTTACTTTGTGGTTAGATCAGCGTAGAGCAGCAGGGATGAGTATGAGGGACTATTGGACAAAAGTGGACCCCATGGTCTAAAGTTGCAGACATGCTGCAGTGGCTTCCAATGGAATTTCGGAATGCATCAGCACGTTGTTACATGGTAAAGCGCACGATGATGGTTTTCTTCTTAGCATGTGTAAAAAATGCAGAGGCATGAAAGAAGCGGTTTAAGTAGAAGAACAAACCGGGCAGTCAAGTAAACAAAGGTGAGCGTAACGTATATGACATGTGCGTATAGATACACACTATTAGTATACAAATATGAGCACGGTTTATATGTACATATTCATTTATTTATCTTTATTTACTTATGATTATTACACACACATGTTTATATGTGTATATGTATATATATATATACACATCTCTGTCTATTTGCACATTTTGTTCGTACAGACAGACGTACTAGACCCCACTGGAATCTAGACTACCTGGCAGGCTGAACAGGCCGAAGCCAGTGGAATGACTGCCCCACTGGCGCGTTTGCGGGGTGGAAATTCATTTGATGTTATATTGTGCTGCTGCATATCACGGTTCTGACAAGGTTTAGAGCGGTCTATGAATGAAAGGACCTACATATCGGTCTTCTAAGAATAGGTGCACTAGAATTGAGGGTTTTGGGGCCTTCAGGGCTATTTACGATGTTGGGCTTTGAGAAGCTTGGGGGTTCGCTGTTCGGTTGTAAAACACTCGGCTATATGATATCATGCTATATGGTCTTATCCTAAATAATGCTACATCATATATTGGTATGTTAGTCGTCATGGAGTCTAAGAGAGCGAGAAAGTTTGGGGGGGCCGTAGTAACTTAGTATGAGCAATGCTATTGAGCGGCCAGCATGAAAATTGGACTGATTGAAGCGAATTGCAGATCAGACGCCCGGACCAGGCAGGAGGCTCATGCGGAAGCGCAACAATACTTGTAGCTTGATAGGCCCACAGCTCCAGCACACGTGCCTTGCCAGCTAAGACCGAGGGACCATCGTTCTCAGTTTTCTTCAGGGGTTGGCGGCATCGTGTCGCACAAACGGTGAGATATGTCACCAGCAGCCAGCGCTACTTAGCAGCAGACGCTCACATGCTTGGCATAGCCGGCAGGGCATGCGCTCTCTCGGGTCGCTTTCTTCCGCGGCAGGCGTACCTCGAAGAGGAAGCGCAGCTGAACAAAAGTGTCAACAAGCGCTTGTTGGCCGGGGAGGTCTCTCAAGCGCGAAGCTTCAACAGGCGCCAGATCCGCCCCAGAGCGTCCCAAAGCGGTGTAGATGTGATACTATGACACTGAGGCAGCAGCGTCATTGAACAAGGTCCACCACCGGTAGAATTGCCAGTTGCAGACTACCGGTCCGATTTCTCGCAGTTCTGAATGTCGCTTGCAACAGAGCATCGCGGCAGTGTCAGTGTTTTAGCAGTAGTCACAGGCCTACAAACACATCCTATCCGTTTTGCAGACTGAAACCTAGCACAAGCCCTTGAACAAACCAGGCCTCTTCATGTGCAGCAGCTTTGCATCATGGTGGTAGGGGTTGTAAGTCATCCAGGCCTTGCATGAATTTCTTTAAGGGTTCCTTATGATGGAACTCTGATCTTATATTACCCTAAACCTAAACACCAAACTCTAAACTGCGCAGGCGGACCGGCATTGAACCCCTGCCTGCTGCAGAGCTGCCAGACGCTCAGTGACGGCACTAGGACCCCAAAAAGGCTGTAATGTAGGGGACTGAATATTTACCACCACTACGAGTGGTGGGGTTCCTTATTATGATTTTTGTGTGGTGGGCCCAAAAACGCTATTCTAAATATAAACGCCCCTACATTACTCAAGCAATGTGTAACCCTATCAACTAAGCCCTGAACATCCCTGAACCCTAATCCTAAATAAGTGTACCAAGTCGAAACCTTAAAGAAACATCCCTGTCTATGCCAAGTCATATCACATACTTCTGTAGAGGGCATTTGGTTTCCAGGGCCCATCTGGCAGTCATCGAGTCCAGTTTCAAAAAAAGGGCCCATCTGGGCCGGCTTGGCGAGCTTGCTCCGTGCTTCTATGCATGTTGCCAGCCATGACATTGCGAGGTTTAAGGTTTCGGGGCTTCATTCCGGATGCTTGGCCTGAGCCCACGAGTCGCTTACTCACGAAGTGGTTGTTCTGGCGGAGTCGCGGCAGGCCACTTGCAAAAGGGTTTAGGATTTAGTTTAAGCTTCGCCAGCACAGCGGCGTCCATGCCAAGTCGCACAGCTATACGGTGCTACCCTAACCCCCCCCCCCC